AAAAAAAATGTATAACAAAGCAAGTTGCATGTCATCTACATAACAAATGTAAACACAACTCTCAGAATGAATTTCAGTAGGACATGGAGTATGAGGCACCCCTGAGGAATCTCTGTAAGAACTAAGGGCATGGGAGGAAATACCTTCTAAAGAAACTAAAAAATTAAACTGAACATCCACCTGCTTTCAGAATTCCTCCCCACCAGAGAATCCACAGACTCTTCAGACTTCATGTAACCAACAGTGGGCTCAACTTCTGAACTCCCCAACATGTTTCCCCACTTGTATGAATGGCAGCACCATCCACCCAAACACCTCTGTCAGAAACTTGAGAGGTCTCCTATCTCTTCCTTCTCTTTCCCTACCCATATCCAGCCGGGTCACCTACTGCTGTTAAAGTTCTTTAAGATAGTCTTCTCTTTTATTTTCCCCCTTCCTATTCCCATTGCTGGTCCTTCCACTTAGATCTTCAACATTTTTGGCTGGACTATTATCACAGTTTCCTAACAGGTCTCTCTGACTCCGATCTTTCCATAGATCACCTTATCCCAAATACAGAGCCTACTTAATGATTTTCAAATGCATAGAAGTTGGGCATTTCAGTTTGCTTCTTAAAATTTGGCAATGAAAATAAAATATAAATTCCTCAGCACAACATCAAACCCTTCATAAGACCCTTCCTACTTTCCCTGCTCATATTCTGGATCCTTCCCAAGCTGAACTACTAGCAAATTCCCCCGTGTATTCTATCACATGCTGTTCTCTGCTAGTGGAGCCTTTTCCCCATCCCCCCATGGGTAACTACTGACCATCCTTCAAGGTTCAAGCACTCGATTTTTACTCTACTATCTTTCCCCCTTGACTATAAACTACTTCAAAATAAGGATTGTGTTTCTGATCACCCAGCACTTAGTAAAGCCGTTCGTTGAATGCATATTCATTAATTCCATAGTGTGGCCTGCCATAAATGGGCCAGTCCAGTGGGTGACACAAGTGAATATAAACAAAGGGTGCTCAAACATAAAAAATGAAAAAAGCCACCTCATAGTTTTGGTGGAAGGAAGGAAGAAGGGAGGGAGGGAGGAAGGAATAAAGGAAGGAAAGAAGGTAGGTCAAAAGAAGAAAACTAATTAAAGCCAGAGTCAGATAGGAGTTAGAATCAATGTAATAAAATGTTGAGTACTTGCAAACAGAGGGGCAATTGTAAACTACTAGAGAAACTCAGAACAATTCATATGGCCCAATCATTTGCTGTACCCTAGTTTGTCTTTGGGTTGTTTGTTTGTTTTGCAATAACTCAAAATTTGTTAAAGAAATGGAAAAAGGGGCGAGATCAAGATTTTCTTATTTATCAGGAAGATGAATAAAAACAATACGCTAATAAAATGGAAAAATTTTTAAGAACTCTTGCAAAATTCACTGAAAGCTTTGGTTAAAGTCCCCCACCGAAATAAAGAAAAAAAAGAAGTATTATTGAATTTTAGCTAGAGTACATGTAGATTTAAAAATACAATATAGTAAATGATCTGGTGGGAATGTAAACTGGTGCAACCACTATGGACAACAGTATGGAGGTTCCTCAAAAAACTAAAAATGGAACTATAATATGATCCAGCAATCCCACTTCTCGGTACTTGGATGAAGAAAATGAAAAAGAAAACTCAAAAAGATATGTGCAACTCCACATTCACTGCAGCATTATTTTTATTTATAATAGCCTAAGTGTCTACTGATGAATGGATGGATGGATAGATGAAGAAAATGTGATATCATTGTTATATGCCTGAAATTAATATAATGTTATTATCAATTATATCACAATTAAAATATAGAGTAGGTGATTATACTGGGTGTTTCCATATGCAGACGTTTGTCCATGCAAGGCAAATTACACGTTCCTTCAGTGTGTTTAGTGGGAATGGAGGAAAAAAAAACAGAACTTACTGTCCACGAGGATACCAACGGTGCTTAGTGGTAAAGAACATCTTGCTCAGTTGTTCTATCATAGGTCCTTCCTCAATGTGTTCACCTTTTTCTTCCAGTCTGGTTTTTAGCACTTGATCCTGTGTTTCTTCATGATTATGCACAGGATCTGGCCGAGGGATAGGCTACAAAGTAATCAGTAATGAAGAGCATGGAAATGTAGGGCTATTAGCCAGCATTTGATTGAGTTTACGATAAAACAATTCTGTACCATTCTCAAAATTCATTATAACACATCAAGGTGAGTAGACAAGTTATCAGAATAGTTTCACTTAACTGAATTATTCACTAAAGAATCAGAAATATTTCTCTTCTCACATCGTTTTGAGTTTCTTTTCCAATAACAAAGTTCTTATTTAAAGTTGTTTCCCCCTTAATTATAAAAGACATTACTTTAGCTTCTATTTCTCAAAACTATAAATTGTAGCTATTATTTTTTAACTTAAAAGTTTACAGTCTCTACCTTGTATAGCATTGAAGTGAGATACAATGAAAAATCTTTCACTGAAAATGACATTTCTTATATCCAATGCAAGCAGGAAAAACTTCAATGTGTTTATTTTAGATGACTATATTGCCAAAAAATGATGCTTTATGGTAACTTGAGTATACTCGTATGTTATAGCATATACTTATATTTATTTAACTTATGTACATAAAACAATAAGACCTCTTTGTAAGGCAATAGATAAATGCATAAGTGGCACAAGTACATCAGAAATGCAAAGTAACAAAGATACAATGAGAAGCAGAACAGGAGCCAAGTCAGAGACTTGTCAGAGTGCACAATGCATTCTACAAGGGATAACAAACAAACATGAGTAAAGGAATGTAGGTGGGAACTCATGATAAAGAGGTATCTTAAAAAATCAATCTCAAGAAAACTGATTATGAAAGGCCTTCAAAGTTAGACTTAGAAGTAACAATTTGACATAAGTAGAAATAAGGAACCACTTACGTAGTATGAGAGGGAATAAGGAGAAAGTATAATAAAGAAGTTAAGAACTTGGGGGCCGGCAGAGTGGCGCAATGGTTAAGAACTGGCTTNCCTTATTTTAAAAAATGTTCTTTATCCTCAATTATTAAATTCATAATGGGTCCATTGTTTTGACTGCTATAACTTCAAAATGGTGAAATATTCATTAAAACAATCTTCTATATACTGCCTGCTGTTTAGAAATGATCTCTGACATCTAGAAATCAACACTTGAAAATGGCTTACATTAATCCAAAATATATACATATGTCGATGCCAAATAAATACTTGTTGAATGATTAGTAATCACACATTGCCTTATTTAAAATTCTGAAAGATGACACATCACAAGGACAACACCTACAGGTTAATATTCTCTTTATACATATATATAAGCTATTATAGTATCTGGAGTTTTTCTGCTGAGCTCTTTATTAGGATAGATATTGGGACAATTAATTGCATTTATCAAAGTCTGCTTACAATTGAAAATGCCTGGTAATCTTGATGAAACAAGACATACCAGGGGACTAATTAGCAATCAAAGGCTAATTAGCAGTAATAAGATTAAATAAGTAAAATTATACATAGGTGGGATACTAGACATAAAAATCTGAAGATAACAGGCTGGTTTTAAGGCTCCCTAATGGTCATCATGCCTTCAGTCTTACCACCTTCATGTTACACACCTTTAAAGGGTTTTCATAACTTCAATGATATAGTTATGATGACAAAAGGTTGCAGCAATATGGAACATGCAGGAAGGAAACAGGCACTGAAAGCCATTACAGAAGAATTTCAAGGCAGGGCTTCAACTATTAATAAGATATCTGAGTAATGGCACAGAAATAAAAGATAAACATGAGAGATGATATAAATCATGGAAAAAAAATCTTAGAATACAGTAATGATTTAGATTTGGGGTTATGAAAGGGCTTGCTAATTTGTTTTCCCAGCCCTAACTAATAATTACAAAAATAGGGGAAAAGCCAGATAGCGTATATAAATAAAGTGGGTTAGGAAAGAAAAATCAAGGGGCTATAAAATAGAAGCAGGAATTGAGACACCATAGCAGCCAAAAAAAAAATCTCAGATTTTTCTTTTTCTTGGGAAATTGACAGAAATATCACTTTTATTACAGAAAGACTAAGGGAAGGACTTTTTTAAGATAGGAAAAGAGCTGTTTTGTTGAGTTTAAAACTCTGAACACATACCTACCGTATTTGCCGGCGTATAAGACGATTTTTTGGCCCTGAAAAATATGCCTCCAAGTGGGGGGTCGTCTTATACGCCAGGTACACTTCAG